GGAGCTGCTGATACCGGCTGCCAGCTCGGAGCGGCGCCGGAATCCATGGTACCTTCTGTCAGCAAGTTAGATGTTTTCCAAAATGTTAGCTGATTAAAACATTCTGCTAAGTGGTGCAGTGAGGTCCCATATGAGATACTGGTCACATTAAAAGCTCCTTATGTTGCTTTTATTTACCATAGAGATTGTAATGTTTAGCTAGCTGTAAATGCTAGGTCTGAAATGTATGTGTTATATATTTCCAATGAACAACCGCCTATAGTATTATTGATAGCATTATAAATCTTCACATGTAGCACAGCAAGCAGATGTGTTCTGCTTACCATTATCTAGAATATTCGGGCTGGTGCACGATTTTGTTGTGTAACTGTGAAACTCATTCCTCAGTCTCAGACTAAGATGTAGGGTAGAAAACGCACACCAAGACACTGTGGTGCAGAGACATACACAGTGTGAGGTCTCGCAGTTCATTCTTAGAACTCGTGGATTACCGTAAGAGTCTTTATTTAGCTCAGCCAATCCTCATTATGCACACATAGGCACACCAGTTGTATGTCAGTGTGTGTTTGTTTCGGGTTATGGTACCACAACACGGCAGCATGGATTACAACCCGTGATATGGCTAATATGGCAACATAGCTAACATCCATAAACGGATGAGATTATGTATGTAAATTGATATTTATTATGAGCTGGAGAAAATGGCTCTTGGTTAGCGCTGTGTTCATGCTGCTAATAGAAATCTAAACTTGTAGCTGTGCCAGTGACATGATAATGTTATATAATCAAATCTCAGCCATCATGGATCCTGACTCTGTTTGTGTGTGTTTGGACACACAAACAGGACAATCAGGACAATCTTTAACAAAACATAGAGTATATTCAAATATGGGAGGGGGATGATTGGTTGAAATGATAAAAAATGAGAGAAGATTTGCTTTAACATAGACTAAATGACACTAAAGTGGGAAAATGGAGACTAAATCATATCTAAACATGTACAGTGGAAGGACTGATGTCACCCCAGCCATCATTAAAAACATCAGACATCTTTGGAGCAGCTGAAGTGTCGCTGTTACCATCTGGTGAAGCTGTACAGATGGACTGGGGTGTAATTAGTTCAACAAAGATCAAAGGAAGAGCTGCGATCATCACTGTGAACCAGCTAAAACACATTCATGGAGCACATCCACCTGCTGTTTATTTTCATTTTGTCCGGTTCGTTTTGTGCTAAGATCATCAGTTCCATCAGATCATCAGTGAGACATCCTACAACGCCACAGACAAAAAGCTGATAATGAAGACGTGTTAGGTGATGAGCAGTGTGCAGAACAGGGTGTGTGAGGTGTAGCAACCAACCACAACAGAAAAGAACAGGATCAGTGATTAGTAATAATCCGTTTACAGCACCCCAAGCATTAAAACCCCCAACCCCCCAACCAGCCTGTTGTCTGGACCCTGAGCAGCTTCATTGCTCAAACTCGTATATCGCTTCATTTATTGCACACTCATCTGACTCCCTACTGTTCTCTTCCTTCTTGTCATCCCTTTTCTCATCACCTTGCAGACTTGTGGTCTGGTTTAATTTATAGTTTGCTCTCTACCTATTTGAAACAAGCTCAAGGTCTATTGAATACAATGGCCTTCCACTCCCTCCATTATCACAGATGCCCGCCAATATTTGCTGCATTTCTTTCTGTATGAATGCACTCAGTTCTGTCCTTGTTGTTCAGATGCCAATGTCAGCAGGACACAAAACAATGTACAGCTACACTATGCTATGTTTAAGCGAGCAAGAACATATAAAACGAAATGTTCATCTGTTCTACTGCCACAGTGAGCACAACATATACAAAATCTACTAATGGATACATTTCTGTCATGTATTTCAAATGTATTTATGGCCTATTTGAAAAGATCTTGCAAAACACTTCATAAATGCCTGTCAGTGCCCTCTCAAAGTGTTACTACTTCTGTTTCAGCTAAACTTTTTGTGCCTACTTTTCAACCACATGCCATATCCTTTCTTTGTTGGAAAGAAAACAAACTGATGCCAAACTCAATCAAAGCATGAACAAAGGAAAAAAGAATAAACAATCTGTTCATTATTCATTGCAGATAGGCATGGCTGATGCAGAACCGTTCACAGTTCATGTCATCATACCATTATTTTAAGCTTGTGAGCAATGCTGACGTACAGTATATGGACAAAAGTATTGGCCCACACCTCTTAATCTTTGAATTTAGGGCTTTCATTCAAGTATATAAAATCAAGTACTAAGTACTTAGCCATGCAGTCTATAAACATATCTGAAAACATGGGTCATTCTAAAGAGCTCACTTAAGCATTACAGAGAGTCAGTTTGTGAAATTTCTTCCCACCTAGATATTTCACAATCAACTGTAAGTGGCATTAATGCAAAGTGGAAGCACAGTAACTCACTTAAAGTCACACAGTGGGGTGCTTGAGTGCTGAGGTGCATAGTGTGAAAAAGTCACCAGAGCCCACGGACATTAACATCAGCACAAAAAGTGTGCACTGGGTGCTTCACATCATAAGTGTCCATGGTTGAGCAGTAGCTTCTGTAGGTGTAATGCATGATTAGTGATTATAGCTTTATTAGTTTCAAGCCATGGACCATTCATGTGTCTTTAGTGTCTTTATCTTTATTTCTGCTTATTAGATTTTATTTATTTATTTTTTTACATTTTCAATACAAAAACTCAGTTGTCTTTTGCTATCAGCTGTGGTATGTTAGATATAGAGAATGAAAATCTTGAGTGTTCACAAGAAGAACGTGAGTCTGAAATTGAGAAATCACATGAGTCAAACCTTTTCAAAACCCGAATCTTTTGGTTTTTCTCAAAACAGAAAAACTGTGAATCGGTATTTGGGTTACGCCTAGGTTCATCTTATCTGTATCATTACTGTCAAAGTACGTTGTACCTTCTGTTATATTTTTTACTGATGCAATAGTCAGGACTCTTTATTTCTGGAAACTTCTCTGTTTGAGTATCTGAACTGGCAGCCAGGGAGAGATGACAAAGCATAATTCTCTCTCTTTCTCTCTCTGCATTGTCAGCGTGTGTCCCCCCCTTATGTGAGTCTGTGTGTGTGTGTGTGTGTGTGGGTGGGTGGCTGGGTTCTTGCACCAACATTTGGTATGTGCATCAGGTCTTTCTCCTGCCTGAATATTTTCAAAGCTGTCTGGTGCAGCTCTGCAGTGAGCACTTTGCCTCCTCACTTAATCAAAATTTAATCAGAGCAGTTAAATCAGGGCAGAAAATCTTGCAGACATGTGTCTAAGAATAAGTTCACCTCCCTTTTAATAGCATATAATAAGCTATTTAATGAAGGGTGTAGGAAAGTTAGTGAATCAGGAAGTACAGAGGATTAGTAAAAAGGAAGAGGGGGCAGCTATGAAGAGAATAAAGATTGGAAAGGTGTTTGGTCTTCGAAACATTGCTGCAGAAGTATGCAGATGTCTAGGAGCAATGGCAGTGGACTGTTTAACCAGAATGTTTAATACAATCCTGGAGAGTGAGATGAAGCCTGAGGAAAGGAGATGAAGTCTACAGGAACCAATTTTCAAGAACACGGTGATGTGCAGAGCTGTAGTAACTACAGAGTAATAAAACTAATGAGCCATAACATGAGGATATGGGAAAGAGTTGTTAAAGCTAGATCAAGAAGAGAGGTGATGACCAGTGTGCAGCAGCATGGCTTCATCCAGAGAAAGAGCACTACAGACGTGATATTTGGTTTGAATGGAGAAGATCATAAGGAGTTGCAGTGTGTTTTTGTAGATCTAGAGAAAGCACATGATGGGGTACTGTATGAGGAAGTCAGGCATGACAGAGAAGCATGTGAGGGTGGTGCAGGACATGTATGAGGACAGTGAGACAGTAGTGAGGTGTAAGGTAGAAGTGACAGATTGATTGAAGGTGGGGTTGGTTTGCATCAAAGCAGAGAGCCTAGAGAGGTGGAGGCATGCTGTTGAATATGGAGCTGTCAGTCAGGAGGAAAAGAAGAATACCAC